ATTGGTAAAAATAAATTTGTAATTATACCAATTTTGTGATTATAGAGGAGGTGACTATAGAGGGGTTTGACTGTATATATATTTTTTATTTTAATAGCTGAATTTAAACAAAATGTTTTTCGAATTTGATTAGGTAATTGCGAGATATCCTTGATCAAAGTTTAAAAATAATTCTTGATGCAGCTTCTATTTGATAGATGTTTAAAATTTTGCAAGAATTTTTATCTAAGATATCTCTGCACCTATCTAATCAAATTCAGTTAATTTTTTTTTTATTTTAATAGTAGAAGATAGCAGAATTCAAATAAAAAAAGTTTATGAAGCGCTGAGATATCCTTGATCGAACGTTTAACAATAATTCTTGACACAGCTCCTATTTGATGGACATTTAAATTTTGCAAGAACTTTGATCGAAGATATCTCAATACTCACCGAACCAAATTTGATAAGCTTTTTTGTTTTATTTTATAGTAGAAGACAGTAGAATTCAAATAAAAAAAGGTTATCGAATTTGGTTAGGTTGGTGCCGAGATATCTTTTGATCAAATTTAGAAACAATTCTTGATGTAGTTTTATTTATAGAAATTTAAAATTTTGCAAGAACTTTGATCGAATATAACTTAGCACTTATCTAACCAAATTTGATGAACTTTTTTTATATTTTAATACTAGAAAATAACAAATTCAAATAAAAAAAGTTCATCGAATTTTGTTAGGTAAATGCCGTGATATCTTCGATCAATGCTAAAATTTTTTAAAAATTAAAAATGATCTACATCATCAATTCCCTAAATTTATTAAAATATATGGGCTAGGTGCTAAATTATAAGAAAATACAAACTTTAAAGGGTTATACTGCAAATTTTTTTTAAGATAACAGTATTTGTTCCTTAAGCAAAAACATGTTCCTGAGCTAATTTTGAATTAATTAAGAAAAGGTTCTTGAAAAAATTGTTAATTTGGGCCCTTTCTATCACCTAGCCCATATAATTGTATTATTAATAAAACATAAGGAATTTATTTATTAACAAGTTTCACGAGGCATCTTTAGGAATTACATTTGTAGAATTGAATAATAGTTAATAAATATCCATTAATTATAATATACGTTATAATTCATATTTCTAATCACTAAAATAAGGTTAGATACTAAATTCGTTATTAGATACATAATAAAGGAAAGAATAATTAATATTTCCATATGAATTAATATAAAAGAGCCTGAGAGAGAGCAACACCAAGAGAGAGCAGTACAGAGAAAGAGCAATAAAAAGAGAGACTGTTAGTTAGAGCCGAAGAAGTGAAGACTTTAGTATAAGTAGGGTTAAGAAAATCTACATTTCCACTGTTAGACTTGGCAATAATCATTCCATTAGATGGAATTGAAGAATTCGTGGACTTTGTTCCGTTTAAAGTATTTCTGGAATAAGTTGAGTCCAAATTATTGTCAGCATTCCTAGCACTTATACGACCAGAGTATGAAAAGATTTCATATTCGCCAGCGAACGTATCATTCTGTTTAGAAATTTAGATTAAATTATTTGCATTATGAATTTATTAGGTACAAAGTCAAATAAAATTTTTGTTTTACACACCAAATTCAAGGACATTGAACTACTCTCAGACTCTAAATCAATATAAGGCTGTGAATTATTTTTTCCGACAGCAATATTAATTCCAATATAACCATCATAACCTTTCACGATAAAAGTATTGTTAAGCTCCTTCACGTCACCAATCATTTGAGATTCTCCGGACGTAATTATTTCCATAGATTGGATTGAAGTATTCTTGAATTTAATTAAAAAAAAAGTTTTTGAATATTGTAATTTTTTTAAAAAATAAAAATTTCAAGTCTACAATTCTAAATTACCTGCAAAGTAATATGTGCATCATGTGAAATTAACCTTAAGTTATGTGGAATATATTATAGGGTAAATTATCTAATGCCATTGTAACATCAAAAGTGGATGTGTCAAATTTAATAGTTCGATTTGGTTGATTATCAAAGAAAGGTGGAAGCAATATTTCCACTTTGGCTCTTCCACACCGTTCAGATCGCCAGAATGAATTAGAACCAGATATCTATAAACAATAAATTATTTAAAAGAAAATTCTTTAAAATTTATATTTGAGTAAATTAAATACATACAAGATTTAGTTTTCGTGTCATTCCTTCTTCTTTCAAGTCATAATTTGATCCATCAGCCATGGAAACGATTACAAAAGATATTACAATATTGGTGTTATTATTTGGATTGGTTTTAAAAATCAGATCCCTAGTCTATAATCATTAATATGTTAAAAAAAGCCTATTTTTCCGAAAATAAAATAATAATGGAGAGAAACCTTCTTAAATGTACCCCCTCGAAACTATAGTAAAAAAATTCAACAATATGCACTTAGGTGTGCATTTATAGAGAGCGAAATATATAGTATTATTATAAGCTGGGACCAGACTATACTGTGTATTTAAAGAGTTTTTACATAGGAGGGTGCACTTAGAGAGGTCTCTCGGTAATAATAATATATTCTTCATAGCTTACATCGAATCTACCCTCATATGTCAATTGAAAACTTGAAAACGTATCTGGATTAAGGTCTAGTATAATCGGGTTATGGTTACTTAAGTTAAGAGATCTACATGCAGAACTACTCGGCGGGTAAAAATATTCAATCTATTTATGAAAACAAAAGTCCTTATATGTTAGATAGCATATCGTACAAAATTAATCTTTTTTGTTTAATATACTTACAGGAAATATTAAAATGTATATAAATAAACCATAGACAGTTATATAAATAGCAATGAAAGCGTAGAACGCTGCTATTCCCGTAAATATTACTCCGATCACGCCAATTATCCACTTCAACCATGCGCCAGCACAGGTAAAACAGCATCTTATCGAATTTTTAAATTAGTTATATCGAATTAACGGCCTTTAAAACAGAAAAACGTACCTAAAATGAAATATAATGTTGTATGGCCATTGCTACGATATTCTTCTTTTATTCTTCTCACTTCTCTCTTTATAAATTCTATTACAGAATTTAGGTGATCCATCTCAGTGAAAACTTAATATAATTGTAGTAATTATACTGAAATAAATTAGTCTAGATGAAACCCACTCGATATAATAATGAATTTACTAATAGACTCTTATGATAAATTGTTAAGGAAATTTATCATGGAATAAATGTCTTCACTATAACGAGGGTCACTTGTATTCGCCTCTCTCAGGTGAAAATTTCAATTAAAAAATGGCCATAACCATGACTTATCCGAGTTTTTATATGTTCTTATACATTATGAATAGGGCAAAATTTTGTCTATTTCGCTACACATTTTCAATGTTATTTCCTGTTAGAAGTAACACAGTGAAACTTAATTCGGAGTTTGGTTTCTTGCCAAGAGAAACGCATTTACTGGTTACAATAAAAAGTCATCTGTATAACAAACAATTGAGGATTATATGATTTTCCGACTAAAACGTTTCAAGTTTGAGTTTTTCGACCTTTTTTTTTATTTTTTATTTTGAGCTTTGAGTTTTTTGGGAAAGAGACACACACACTCTCTCTTTCTCTTTTTTCTCTTTTTTTTTTTTTTTTTTTTAAAAAAAAAAAAATTATATTGAGTAATAATTTTTGTGACCGTTGAATTATAGATGAACTGTGGAACATGAATTAGTTTCAAATGATACCGAAATACATTCCAAAGTATGAATAGCAAATAAAAGAATAAAATAAACACAACCAACAACACCAATTAACCAATAGTGAACCATGTACTCAACATCATGTTTTTTAATGTTTGAACCCATTTAATGATTTACCTGTATTATCTAATGCATTGTTTTTTTTTGTGTAAATACGAATAGAATATGAAAAACTAATCGTATGATTAGTATGATTATTGGTGACGATCAAAAAGAACTTCTGAAGAGCGAAAAAAATTTGGAACCATGTGCACGGATGCCTACTCATAAAGGTGCGAATCAGCACACTTCTGAATTATTTCTAACATACAAAACTTAGTTCGGAGTTTCGTTCCTATTAAGAGTATTGTAATGTGTACTGCAATATGTACTGTAATTTGTTTGTTATCCGTGCAGTCGAAATCCGAACTCTATAAGCTTATGTTCTGATAACGTTTACAGTGCAAATCTCTCCTAATTGGTCTATCGAATTCAATTATATAACGATAAGTTTTAGCATAATGATAATTGTGTTGGGCCTTTTTATAACAAACTACCAATATTATGGAAAGTAAGATTGCAATAATAATC